ACTTTAAATAATTAACACTTCACTTTTTTGGGTAAATTAAAGTTAAAGCAGAATTCCATAAGCAGGACTGGTGGGCTGAACTAAGATGATTTACTAAGTGGATGGCACCTATAGCTGATCCCTTCCTGTGATTGGCTGTTGTGTGAATGTCAACAAAGAGTTTCTACCAATGATATGCCAACATTTTATTTATTATGCACCCCATATCATCTTGTGGGCGGAGCTTGAGACCTCTTCTTACCCGAGCACAACAACAATGTATTATTATTATTACTTTAAACACTGATCTATACGTCTGGTAGCTTATAATAAGGTTTTATACCATGAAACCATGTATTAGGTAACTAGAATTCTGCAATTATTTTTTTTTATCTACTGTTGAGGATATGTAAGACAAATGTAAGGTTTTGAGGCTAAGTAACGAAGATAGTTACAAGATACGAGCCAGTTGGTGTTGAGATTGCAAAAGGGATTATGATAAGAACTTAAGCCAAAAATCAATGCATAAATGTTCGCAAATATGAGACTGGGATTTATTTCTCGAAAAGTTAGCAATAAAATACGCTTTCTAGTTCTTTATTTTTAAAATTAAGACCAGGGATTCTGTCTAACGAAGCTGCAAGCTAAAACACCGTTATCCTATAATGTTCATCTGTAGCTTGACCCTAAATACTCGTTTATTAAACGAATTTATTGTTAGAGTTCATAAGGAATCAACTTTGTTGAAGACAGAGTTTCCAACAAATACTTTCCGGTGATTGGCTGTTGCGGGGAATGCCAACGCTTATATGAATAAAATGCAAAATAAGAAATACGTCCTTTTGCTCAATAACCTTGTTGTTGTACAAAAGAACAACAATTTCTGTTTTATACAAGACAGAAATTTCCATCTAACTGAATAATGTAGACCAATAAGAGGACGGAGGCATTGTATCGCCGATATTATTTGTGTGAGGCAACTCCCACTGATGACGTCACAAGTCAGGTAGCCAGCCCATGTTTCTGTAACACTCGTTACATCCTGCAGTATTTAATTATCACTATATTAATACTTTTAAATACTTAACATTTCACTTTTTAGGTAGATTAAAGTTGAAGCAGAATGTCATAAGCAAGGATGGTGTGCTGAATAAAGATGATTTATTAAGTGGATGGAGCCTTTAGCTGATCCCTTCCTGTGATTGGCTGTTGTGTGAATGTCAACAAAGAATATCTACCAATGATATGCCATTTATTATGCACCCCATACCATTTGTGGGCGGAGCTTGGAACCTCCTACCCGAGCACAACAACCCACCTTATGGGTTGCTGTTTGGCTATTTATAGTGCGTTGGAAAAAAACTAGATGGCGTTAGTTGTATTTTGTGGGGCAATTTGTTATAAGTGTAATTTGATGTCAACAGATGGCGTAAGCTGTACCTTATGGCCACTGTTGACCAGCTAGTTGATAGTGTTCTCGTCTGCCGACAGATGGCATCAGCTGTGTTATTATTACTTCCGAATTCCCTTTTAAACACTGATCTACAAATCCCTTGGCTTATGATAAGGTTTTATACCATTTATGATAAGTATTAGATAACTGGAGTTCCGCAATTACTTTTATTTATCAACTGTTCAGGATATCATCATATAACGTCTGGTTAGGACGTACTGCTCTCGATTGATGAAGATTAAGCCACCCAAGAGGTGGCACGGGCATGAATAGCCCGTAAATACTGCTCTCGTAATATTATTCAGGGGGGTGGGGGAACTATCAAGTGAAAGCGCCAAGCCATTACGACTATATAGCACTCGGAAGGGATCAGGATACGGATTTGGGATGGAACGGGGGAAAGGAATGGTGCCCAACCTCTTGGGCGGTCGGGGATTGAACGCGGACCTGTAGGAAAGGAGACCGTCGCTCTACCGTCCAGCCCAAGTGGTTAAGCGTAATATTATTAAAACAACAATTTATGCATATAATAACAGCATTTCACACTAAAAATACTTGGATATATCGAAATTTGGTAGTGAATTCCAATCTAGGAATCTCCTATGACTGAACTGTACTTTTTAATTATTTTTATGTACTTACTACTTATTATTAAATTATTAAGTACTTACTATAATAATTAAATAAATTATTTTATTTAATATTTAAATTAAACGATAAAATAATAGGTAATAATAAATCATTGTATAGGGGGGACAGGCAGCCAGTGTATATATACATGTTAGGCTTATACCAAGGTCCCACAAAGGTGCCACAAAGGTGCCAAATTAAAGACTGGGTGCTGCCGGGGCGGGCCCAAGGGCTGCTGGCGGCCCTGGCCAAGCTGAACTTCCGCGCCCTTATAATCACCATTGTTTAATAATCTTCACAGGGAGAAACAACTGTAAATATAGGAATAGTTTATTACAACATACACGGTAAAGAAAACAGCTCGGAAACTAAGGAAATAAAGCTGCCGAAAAAACATTAAAGTCCATTTCAAGTTCAAGTATGTTTATTGTCGGTTCGTTCATGCTAGGCTTGCAGTTACACAACTGGTCGGGGTTCGGGGTGCACAATAAACCACCACTCACTGGTTGAATAGGGGATGCTTAATGAACTATCCACCTCTGGCGGCAAAAAATCAATATTATATATATATATATATATATATATATATATATATATATATATATATATATATATATATATATATATATATATATATATATATATATATATATATATATATAATGTGTGTGTATGTGCAGAAATAATATTAATAAAACAATTAACATCGTGTAGTGTACTCTATATATCAAAATATATTACTTTGAAACCCATATCATTCACTAAAAAAAAAAAAAATGGGCTACTCTTATTACAAATTCGCTACTTTTAACTTGCATATTATTAGCACTACTAAGTTCTCCACTTTCAAAGGTAAGCAATATAAGACACATTATAATTATCATGCTCTATTTCTCTATAAAAGAGAATGTGTGTGTGTTCGTCTGGCCATGTTTGAGGACACACGTTTGCTGCTAGCCTCACGAAACTTTGCAGGGTGATTTGTGACTAGGGGAAGTGTCATAGGGTGGTCGGAGTCAACCCTTATTCATTATATAATTCGCAATATATTATGTATTAAACCAACACCTCCATACTCCAGCAGTATGGAGCAGTCATCCGCACCACCAACATACTTACATTTGATTTAAAATCTATATTCGTAAGTGATACGACCTAATACTTTGGTCGTATTAAAGAAATTATATTCACATGATTTTCTTTCATTAATACCATTCATTATACTTTCAATGTGTCCTATTCATAATCTCTTCATCATTTGATATTCTTTCATCTATATTTTTAACATGTCCTGATATACCTGTTAAATGCAGCAAGGAGAATATTCTCCTCATGCAGCCAATGAGTCACAGTAAGTTGACCAGACCACACACTAGAAGGTGAAGGGACGACGACGTTTCGGTCCGTCCTGGACCATTCACAATCGACTTGAGAATGGTCCAGGACAGACCGAAACGTCGTCGTCCCTTCACCTTCTAGTGTGTGGTCTGGTCAGCAATATTCTCCTCGCTGTATTTGCTGACTTCCTTTCCACAAGATCTGTTGTCTGTATAATTGTCTACATTCTGTCAATCTTCTGATTCACTCATATTTTCCTATATCTTTTACTCTCGTCATGCTCCCGTTTTCCTGTTTTTCTTGTTCACTTTGTATCCGTAAAATTCACTTTTGTTGTTTGTTTTCGAGTGCTCTTGCCACCTATTTATTCCACTAAGAAGTTCCTCTTATTGTTCTACCATGTAAATGTGCCTCCACACACACACACTTCCTTGATGGTCTTAACCAAACGTGTCTTCTCTACATCCTACGTGTCGCTAAGATGTATTTCTCAACTTTCTCACTTCCCCTAAGATATATTTCTCAACATTCTCTCTTCCCCTAAGATATATTTCTCAACATTCTCTCTTCCCCTAAGATATATTTCTCAACATTCTCTCTTCCCCTAAGATATATTTCTCAACATTCTCTCTTCCCCTAAGATATTTTTCTCAACATTCTCTCTTCTCTAAGATATTCTTCTGAATATTCTCTCTTCCCTAAGATAATTTTCTGAACATTCTCTCTTCCCCAAGATCATGTCTGCCAGTTTTTAATCAACTTCCCAAGTGTAAGTACTCGCCTCCTGGGTCCTTGTGATGTACAGTGACGTGTGTGGCTCTTAGTATTACCTCACAGCATCAAGATGGGTTCAGACGAGCCTCCTTCCATGTATTCCTCAGTTCTGGTATTATGCACTTGCTGGAGTCTACTTGTATCAACAATAGTATACTTCTTGGGTATACTTTTACCCAGTTAAACTCTCTTGACCAAATTGGTCCTGTACCTTGTGTTATGTATACTTCTGAATATAGATTAGCAATACGTAACTCATCACATAATGAAGCTGATGGCATATACTTTGGTGACACCATTACTACCCCATAATGTTAGTCATTCTAATTTGTTAGAATATTTGTTATTCTATGTTAGAATAGATTTGTTATTCTTATTTGTTAGTAGTTCATCTATTATGCAGGTCACACCCATCCTGTGGGCGGTGGTGGAAAGGGCTACAGAGGCACATAATGGGCTCAGGAGCTGAACCCCAACATTCATTAAGTTAAGCAAGTTACAGTCTTGATGCACCAGTTATGTCACTCATGATCTATTCCCACTTTGTCATTGGTGATCACCAATGACAAATATCTTCTAGCTTGTAGGTACCATAGTGACCTCCTGACCTTAGCTATTCTCTTAAAGACTTTTCTCCTTTCTTCCATCATCACACATCCAAGAACAATAAGACTGTCCGCCATTACTCTTTCCTTCTTAAATTTCACACAAATACCTTGAATCTCAAATGAGATTGTTCATTAATCTTCTACCAATTTTTTTTAATTACATTAATTTTTAACTGCATTCCTGTTTTGTAATTTTTCATTAATATTTCCAGAGTGCGGAGGGACAGAACAAACATGTAAAGTCTGGTAAATGTTGTAGGGCGAGTCGAGAACACCTTAAACCAAGACTTCCACGAACTGGGTTTAAGCAACATAAGAACAGCAAGATGCGTGCACCCAGCTTCCAGACTACCCGTCTCCTGGTGGTCTACCTGTCACTCGTGGCCCTGGGAGTCCTGCTGGAGATTGAGCTGTCCCAGGACCCACCCGACGCCCTCAGCTCTCGACCACCAGTGGTGGAGGATCCAGGACCTCTTCGTGCCCTCAGGGAAGATGCTCGCTTGGCGGGAGGTGCTGAGGACGCCAGCAAGACGACTGTCAGATCCATACCAAAGAGCGTCAGTGACTCTGACTTATCGCAGAATATATTGACCTTTGAACTACCCTCTGGTGATCCTGTTAACTTGTACCGTGATGTGGATGGTGACGATCGTTCAGCTAATCCGTATGGTGTTGCTTACGGCAGTCAGGTTGTTAGTGACGGGAGTGTGCTCACTGGGAACGACGCCTCACACGTATCTCGCTATAAACCTCGCACTGATGCTGTTAGACGTAAGATTAGAGTCTCTGCTGAGCTTAACGCCTTCGATGAGTTAGTCAATCTCCTTACGCCTTCCCCGGCTCATTGTCTGGCGGTGGACACCCTCACCCGGCCCAGACCGCCGTCCCAGGGCTCCAGGTACCGCTGTTACCTTCACAGCTTAAACCAGTGTGAGAACGTCGTCAGAGGCAAAAGGAAGAGAAAGAGAAAGCGATGCCCAGGCACCGCGCGCCTGGGGTACGCAGTCAACCCCGCCAGTGTTGATCTCAGCGAAGTTCTCCCCAGCGAAGACAAAACCACCCAGACAGTGGTAAAAAATCTTACCAAGACACAGCTTAGTAATTCAGATCTTATCAAGAAGTCACTAGACAGAAGATGGCAGGAGGGAGCGGCCACTGGCGGCGGAGATACACTACACAAAACCATCACTGTCAACGCTCGCTGCGCCTTCTTGGAAGACCTTAAGACTCTGAGGCTTCACCAACAACTCCTGCTGGACATTACATTTGATCTGGCAGGGCTCAATTCTCTTCACAAGTACGAGATCATAAGGAAACTAGTGCAGGTGAGTTTTTATCCCAGTTCATATAGCACTACAAAGAATGTGTGTGTGTATTCACTATTTGTATTTCCAGAATCGAGCTATTAGCTCTTGGACCCTGCCTTTCTAACCAATTTATTTTTCCTCTATTATGTCTACTACATATATATCTAACATATGCACACACACACACACATCCGCAGGAAGCAGCCCGTAGCAGCTGTCTAACTCCCAGGTACCTATTTACTGATAGGCAATAGGTGCATCAGGGTGTAAGAAACTATGCCCATTTTTGTTTCTCGCCGGCGCCGGGAATCGAACCCGGGCCACAGGATTACGTGCCCTGCGTACTGTCCTCAAAGCCACCGGCGCCCCACCGGTGGGAGCGCGCACGTGTGTGTGTACTCACCTAGTTGTGCTTGCGGGGAGTTGAGCTTTGGCTCTTTGGTCCCGCCTCCCAACTGTCAATCAACTGGTGTACAGATTCCTGATCCTACTGGGCTCTATCATACCTACATTTGTTAGATATCTATGTGTGTGTGTGTGTGTGTGTGTGTGTGTGTGTGTGTGTGTGTGTGTGTGTGTGTGTGTGTGTGTGTGTGTACTCACCTATTTGTGCTTGCAAGATCGAGCAATGATTCTTGAATCCCGCCTTTTTAGCCATCGGTTGTTTACAGCAATGTCTCCTGTCCCATTTCCCTATCATATCTAGTTTTAAATTATGAATAGAGTTTACTTCGACAACCTGTTCCTTAAGTGCATTCCATTTTTCCACTACTCTCACACTAATAGAATACTTTCTAACATCTCTGTGACTCATCTGAGTTTCCAGCATCCACCTATGTCCCCTCGTTCTGCTACTATTACGTGTGAACATTTCAGCTATTTCCACTTTGTCAATTCCCCTGAGTATTTTATACGTTCTTATCATATCCCCCCCTCTCCCTTCTTTTTTCTAGTATGGAAAGGTTTAGTTCCTTCAGGCGCTCTTCGTATCCCATCCCTCGTAACTGGGACGAGCCTCTACGCAAACTTCTGAACCTCTTCCAGTTTCCTTATGAGTTTCTTCAGGTGGGGACTCCATGATGGCGCGGCATACTCTAAGACTGGTCTCACGTAGGCAGTGTAAAGCACTCTAAAAGCCTCCTCACTTAGGTTTCTGAATGATGTTCTAACTTTTGCCAGTGTAGAGTACGCTGCTGTCGTTATCCTATTTATATGTGCCTCAGGAGTTAGATTAGGTGTTACGTCCACTCCCAGGTCTATTTCTCGAATCGTTACAGGTAGGCTGTTTCCCTTCATTGTGTACTGTCCCTTTGGTCTCCTATCACCTGATCCCATTTCCATAACTTTACATTTACTCGTGTTGAACTCCAGGAGCCATTTCTCTGACCTTCTCTGTAACCTGTCCAGGTCCTCTTGGAGGATCCTACAATCCTCATCTGTCACAACTCTTCTCATTAATTTTGCGTCATCGGCGAACATTGACATGTATGATTCCACTCCTGTAAACATATCATTTACGTAAATTGGAAATAGAATTGGTCCCAGCACCGATCCTTTAGGTACTTCACTTGTTACTGTTCGCCAGTCCGACTTCTCGCACCTTACCATTACTCTCTGGCTCCTTCTTGTATAGAAATATGCAGTCTGCCCAACCTTCTCTGTCCTACTTTATCCTTGTTATTTTATCATAGTATTCCAAGAGGTTTGTTAGGCATGATTTCCCCGTCCAGAACCCATGTTTACAAACCTAACGTTCTCCAGGTGTGCAACAAGTCTTAGCCTAACTATTCTTTCAAGTATTTTGCAGGGGATACTTGTCAGTGATACGGGTCTGTAGTTAATTAAGTGCCTCCTCCCTATCTCCTTTCTTGAAAATCGGTACGACGTTTGTGTGTACGTGTGCGTGCGTGCGTGCGTGTGTGTGTGTGTGTGTGTGTGTGTGTGTGTGTGTGTGTGTGTGTGTGTGTGTGTGTGTGTGTGTGTGTGTGTGTGTGTGTGTGTGTGTGTGTGTGTGTGTGTGTGTGTGTGTGTGTGTGTGTGCGTGTGTGTGTGTGTGTGTGTGCGTGTGTGTGTGTGTGTGTGTGTGTGTATCAGTTGGAATACAGACAACTCACATGTTGTTGTTTATCACCTCTAGTTAGTCAGTACACTAACTTTTTTTTTAATTTTTTCCAAAATTTGTTACCAAATTTGTCAATTTGAATCGATGAATCAGGTTTGATTTCTCATTGTTGGGAACAGGAAGAGAATTGACGCCATTTTTAATTAAGGCAACTGCTGGTCTTTACCAGGATGCAACCCACAACAGTTAACTAGCTACTATGTGCCTGTTTACTCTTCTAGGTGAACAGAGGCATTAGGTGTAAGGAAACATAGAGTAACATGCGACGGTATTGCAATAGTTTCCAAAGGCCGCTATATTGCTTCTGAATTCAGTGTTCATTGTATGCTATAATGAAATGCAACGTTAGACTTTAATTACTTTGTCTTTACCTGAGGGCCAATAACGCCATAGTGGCCTCGACGAGGACAGGAAGCCAACGGCTTGTCGAAGGTCCTGCCATTAATCATGATAATCATTGTGACAGGAGCTGCGTTGGGTCCTGGCGCGCGGGGGCTACCTGTTGATACGCTCATCAGCTGACGGTGGCGACCTGCAGCACTACCTCCAACAGGAAGGTCTTCAGCGTCCCCTGCACGTCCTGACGCTCCTCCGGCGGTAGCTTCAAGCCCCGGGAGGACCATAGAGGCTGAGGGAGGCGGGCCCGCAGGAACACACACAGAGCCAAAGCTCAACCCCCGCAAGCACAACTAGGTGAGTACACACACACACACACAAGGCAGCCTAAGGTAATGTGTCAGATAATATATCATTTGATTTATTCATAAGTATTATATTTCCTTGATTATTACTCAATTTTACTATATATTCATTGATCACTCCTGTGTAGTGCAACTTGAGGTTGATTTGTTATCAAATAAGATATTTAAATAATTGTTCTGAGTACTGTCCTTGCCGTGAATTCGCACCATTCAACAGGCGCTATACTTATTTATTTATTTATTTATTTATTTATTTATTTATTTATTTATTTATTTATTTATTTATATACAAGAAGGTACATTGGGGATTAACAGAGAACATAGAAATTGAGTTGATTTTGGCTTGGCTGGTTACTACCAACAGTTCACATATAACACCTTTAGAAGAGTTTCTGAAACTGTAATCCGTCTCAGGATATAGTAGTCACTTGAAGGTATGAGAACGGAGTTCTTTACACCAACAATGTTCTCCTTCCGTTCGTGACGTTAGATTTACCAAGCCTATTGTCTCGACATCGTTCAAATACCTGCCATTAATCATGATAATCATTGTGACAGGAGCTGCGTTGGGTCCTGGCGCGCGGGGGCTACCTGTTGATACGCTCATCAGCTGACGGTGGCGACCTGCAGCACTACCTCCAACAGGAAGGTCTTCAGCGTCCCCTGCACGTCCTGACGCTCCTCCGGCGGTAGCTTCATGCACTGTTCAAATACCTCATTATACAGATTCTGAGGATCCCACGTTACATTCTTCATTACAAGTTGCAGTCGAATCCTCATTTATATATATAATATCACAATTGCTCTTGGGCCGGGCTTGGGGAGTAGAAGAACTCCCAGAACCCCATCAACCAGGTATCAACCAGGTATATGCTTCAAAGTCAAATGTATAATTTGACATTAATACTGTAATAATGGAATTTTTATATTTCCTTTGTGTAATCTAAATTAACTTCCTACATATTTTGAATAGATATTGTAAATGCGTGTTTTTGTGTGGTTACCTAAACAGTTATAGTACGAGATAAGTAAGTTCGTACAAACCCCCCCCCCCAAAAAAAAAAAAAACCTCTAGATCTATTGAGCTACCAACATCCAAATGTTGAAGATAAAGATCTTGGATATGAGGGAGGTAAGGGATGTTACCTATCTACATTTGTAGATTTCTAGAAATAAAGTTTTCATAAAAATTATGTACATAATTATGTACATTACAGAAATTTGTTGTTGCCATTGTTAAAATTATGCACAAAATTACAAGAAAATCTTCATTAAATTTTGTAGAAATGTAGATTTTTGTGAAAGTTTTTTTATGTAATTTTAACATAATTGATATAAAAAATATATAATTGACAAAACTATGTAAATTCTCCATAATTTCTACCAAAATTCAATGTAGATTGCATGTAGAAATAGTTTGAAATTTGTAGATTTTATATATATTTTTTCAAATATGCAGTTTTGTTTCTATAAATTTTGTAGAAAGTGTGTGCAAAAATCTTCGGAATTTCTACAAATTAGATAAAAGCTCAGGAAAATTTCTACCAAATTTTGTAGAATTTTTTTATTTGCTATGTGTGTGAAAGAGGACCTAAATGCGACCACCAATGCAGAACTGAACACCATAGTAACCTCAGTCTGTATGGTGCAGTATACTAGTTCAAGAAAACAACGAACTGATAGTAGGATTATGCTACTGGGTAGACACGGCAACACCAGAGGAAGTTAGTGATATGCTTCGTGTGGTCAATGTGGCATCACAAACCCAAACTCTTATAATGGGGAGGACTTTGAGCACGAGACAATAGGATTGTGTAAATCTAATCACAAGCAGAAAAACAATTTCTTGACCAGGTGCAAGACTCGTGTGATAGCGCCCACTCGAGGTAACAGCATTCTAGATCTGTGACATTAGAAATGGACATGATCAATCAAATTCAGGAAGAGGACAGGCTCATCCTGTCATGTGATCATAATATTTTAAGATGGATCATAATTATAGAAACTGTTTCTATGCGTAGCAGTCCAGGATGATGACTTTCTAGATTACCACCGAGGAGAATATCAAGGAATTGCATAACACCTGGAGGAAGCTGACAGGTGACCATGGCATGGAAGCATGATGGGAAAATTTCAAAGGTCATTACGTAACTTTAAATATTGTGTGAATACGGAGAAAGAAAAGAACAGGAACTAGGTGGATGGCCTAGATAGTGGTAAAAAAAAAGATTTGGGTGGAACCTCTAGAGAAGGTATAAATCCACAATGTAAATATCAGATTAGGTATATAAAAGGGGATTAAATTCAGCTACCCAGGAAATTGGTTCAAAATCGCCCCATTTTTGGCCGCTAGCGGCGAAAATAGCCCCTTTTTTGGCCGCTAGTGGCGAAAATCGTACGGTTTTTGGCCGCTAGCGGCGAAATTCGCGCTATTTTTGGCCGGTAGGGGCGAAAGTTTATCAGTTTAATGCTGATAAATGTAAAGTTCTGAGGTTAGGTAATGATGATAGAGTTACAAGATACGAGCTAGATGGTGTTGTGATTGCGAAGTCGGATTGCGAAAGGGATCTGGGAGTTATGATTAGTAAGAATTTAAAACAAAAGGATCAATGCATAAATGTTCGTAATAAGGCAAATCGGACACTTGGATTTATTAATCGCAGCGTTAGTAACAAGACACCTGGTGTGGTTCTCAAGCTATATCTTGCTCTAGTTAGGCCCCATTTAGATTATGCAGTTCAGTTTTGGTCGCCATATTATAGAATGGATATAAATTCACTTGAACGTGTCCAGCGTAGGATGACTAAGTTAATTCCCCAAATTAGAAATCTTTCATATGAAGAAAGATTAACAAAGCTTAAGTTGCATTCACTGGAAAGGCGAAGAGTTAGGGGTGACATGATAGAGGTTTACAAGTGGATGAATGGACATAACCGGGGGGATATTAATAGGGTGAAAATCGCGATTTTTGCCCGCCAGCTGCGAAAATCGCATGGTTTTTGGCCGCTAGCGGCGAAAATCGCGCGGTTTTTGGCCGGTAGCGGCGAAAATTGCGCTATTTTTGCCCACCAGCTGCAAAAATCGCATTGTTTCTGGCCGCTAGCGGCGAAAATCGCTCGATTTTTGGCCGCTAGCGGCGAAATTTGCACGATTTTTGGCCGCTAGTGGCGAAAATCGCCCCATTTTTGGCCGCTAACGGCGAAAATAGCCCCTTTTTTGGCCGCTAGCGGCGAAATTCGCGCGATTTTTGCCCGCCAGCTGCAAAAATCGCATGGTTTCTGGCCGCTAGCGTCGAAAATAGCGCTATTTTCGGCCGCTAGCCGCAAAAATCGCCCGATTTTCGGCCGCTAGCGGCGAAAATCGCCCGAATTTTAGCCGCTAGCGGCGAAAATCGCGCTATTTTTGGCCGCTAGCGGCGAAAATCGCGATTTTTTGGCCGCCAGCTGCGAAAATCGCGCTATTTTTGCCGCTAGCGTCGAAAATCGCGCGGTTTTTGGCCGCTAGCGGCGAAAATCGCGCTATTTTTGCCCGCCAAATTCGCTTTTTGCCGCTATCGGCAAATTGCAGATTTCTGGCCGCTAGCGGCGAAAATTGCGCGACTTTTGGCCGCTAGCGGCAAAATTCGCACGATTTTTGGCCGCTAGCGTCGAAATTTGCACGATTTTTGGCCGCTAGCGGCTAAAATCGCCCCATTTTTGGCCGCTAGCAGCGAAAACAGCCCCTTTTTTGGCCGCTAGCGGCGAAAATAGCTCGGTTTTTTTTGGCCGCAAGCGGCGAAAATCGCGCTATTTTTGGCCGCTAGGCCGGTAGCGGCGAAAATCGCGCTATTTTTGCACGCCAGCTGCAAAAATCGCATAGTTTCTGGCCGCTAGCGGCGAAAATCGCGCGATTTTTGGCCGCTAGCGGTGAAATTTGCACGATTTTTGGCCGCCAAAAAATCGTGCGAATTTCGCCGCTAGCGGCCAAAATCGCGCGATTTTCGCCGCTACCGGCCAAAAACCGCGCAATTTTCGCCGCTAGCGGCAAAAATAGCCCGATTTTTGGCCGCTAGCGGCCAAAATTGCGCGATTTTCGCCGCTACCGGCCAAAAACCGTGCGATTTTCGCAGCTGGCGGACAAAAATCGCGCGATTTTCGCCGCTAGCGGCCAAAAATCCGTGCGATTTTCGCCGCTAGCGGCCAAAAACCGCGCAATTTTCGCCGCTAGCGGCCAAAAAGCGGGCTATTTTTGCCGCTAGCGGCCAAAAATCGACGATTTTCGCCCCTAGCGGCCAAAAATCGTGCGAATTTCGCTGCTAGCGGCAAAAAATCGTGCGAATTTCGCCGCTAGCGGCCAAAAATCGTGCGAATTTTGCCGCTACCGGCCAAAATCGCGCGATTTTCGCCGCTACCGGCCAAAAAACCGCGCGATTTTCGCCGCTAGCGGTAAAAATAGCCCGATTTTTGGCCGCTAGCGGCCAAAATCGCGCGATTTTCGCCGCTACCGGCCAAAAACCGTGCGATTTTCGCCGCTAGATGGCGTAGCAAAAATCGCGCAATTTTCGCCGCAAGCGGCCAAAAATCGGGCTATTTTTGCCGCTAGCGGCAAAAAATCGACGATTTTCGCCGCTAGCGGCCAAAAATCGTGCGAATTTCGCCGCTAGCGGCCAAAATCGCGCGATTTTCGCCGCTAGCGGCCAAAAATCGCGCGATTTTCGCCGCTACCGGCCAAAAACCGCGCAATTTTCGCCGCTAGCGGCCAAAAATTTTTTGGCCGCTAGCGGCCAAAAATCGTGCGATTTTCGCCGCTAGCGGCCAAAAATCGTGCGAATTTCGCCGCTAGCGGCCAAAAATCGTGCGAATTTTCGCCGCTAGCGGCCAAAAATCGCGCGATTTTCGCCGCTAGCGGCCAAAATCGCCCGATTTTTGGCCGCTAGCGGCCAAAATCGCGCGATTTTCGCCGCTAGCGGCCAAAATAGCCCGATTTTTGGCCGCTAGCGGCGAAAATTGCGCGGTTTTTGGCCGCTAGCG